TTTGGAGGAGATTAAAAAAGCCTTATTTTCCCAGTTATTCGTGGAATTACCTTCTTTGAAAACACTTACAAGCAGTTTATTTGAGATCTTCAAGTCATTAACCAAATATGTAATAAGACGCACAGGCTTCTTCCTGTCCCTGCCTAAGGCGTACAAATTCTACCAGATAAGGAAAAATTTCAGAGTTTTGTTCTGTCCTCTCTCATAAATCTGTAAATTTAAAAATACTTTCCGATAAACTGAGGATTTCATGAAAGCGTGAAAATGCATTAAATGTTATGAAAAAATAACACTCGAATATGGCAACTGAACAATAAACTGTGTGGTTCCCAAAGCAACTAGCTGCCGTGTGATTTATCATACATACAGCACAGGTACTAGATTAAATTCCCGATATGCGTTTCATTTATATACGGTGTTTACATTGGCAATGAACCGACCGGTTCGATTCACGAATGGGTTTGTCAGTGTTCCCATGCGCTTTCTAGTAAATATCCGATTTTTGAAATCTCCCCTTTGTAATCTGCTCCAAAATTGATCGCTAACTTGGAAAAAAGTGCTCGAAATGAAACGTTTTAGGTGCATTCAGAAAGTTCATATTATTATTTGAGTCTAAGGCAGCAGCTGCAGAGGGATAACCATGCAGCTTGTAAAAATTGCCGACAGGCAACTAGTAGTATGCATGTGTTGTAGATTTACAGGAGCTAACTTAAAGCAGAGATACATGTTTCGTGTATATCCTACTGCTGCTGCAGGACACAGCTGCGAGGGGTTCGGCTCAAGCAATTCTGCGATGAATTACACTTATGATTCTTGCTTAAGTAGGAATCAGAGTGGCTGGTCCAAGATTTGCTGCAAATATTCCAATCGAAAAAAGGGATGACTCCCACAGCATGATAATTAACTAGAGAATTTGATACGCGCTTATCTTTAGTTCAGTCCAAATTATGTAATTTATTCTGTTTGAATATGCATTTACCAAATTTATTTACCATTTAGTAATCTGGTCTCACATACTTTAAGGTACTGTGTTTTTGCTAAAGGTTCCTGCATTTCTAGTGAATGGAGCATTTTCAGTTCTTTAGTACATTCCAGTGAATTTTCCATCTTATCTAGGTTCAGTAACCATACTGAAACTTTGTGCTATATCGTATGCCCACATCAGATACTTCCATGAAGCGCAACACATATCCAAAATGGAGCGTATATAATGAAGAAAATCGGAAGTTGTTTCAAACGTTAGGTACAAATTTTATATAAATAGTCGACGTTTGAGGACACTTCCAGCCAAATATTGTGTTAAATATAGCAACTCTAAAGGCTTAAGTGGCACGCTACCACTGGCGGGATAAACAGTCACCCAGGGTACGACCCGTGGGAATGAAGGATGCAGAAGGCGAAAGGATTCATTTTTTCCCCGGTGACGAGAAGCCTCTTTTTATCCCTCCCTTTCCCCAGCTACACTCATACACTCATTTTTATGATAGAGAAGAGATGTAGAGGCCGATAGTCTCAGACGTCTCGTCGTTTCTGAATACAGGTAGTAAGTAGGCAAAAATTCCTAACAGGAAGACGAATGGTTGAAATAAGGCCACGATTTTAACGAAAGATAAGTTGCCATTTACGGCGGACAAAAAAACAGTACAGTCAGTGTCAGCAACGACCTTCCAGGCCATAATGTCTCCCAGGATTACGAAGTTGTTTGTTACACTGATAAAGGTGCATAAGCTGAGTGCCACACGGGACAAACTTAGGGGCTGAAATGAAAGATACCCAAATTATTGGAACTCTATAGAGCACAGAAGTGCAGTTTGCAACAAAGTAGAGTTTGAAGCAAGGACACGGCTGCGGTCCAAATCGCTGTAAGATTAGTAATCGGAGACGCTGATGTGCAGAATTAACTTTACCACAGTATTCGCCTTAGTTTCAGAGCAGACACCCCTTCCTAAATAACAACGAGGGCTTGCTATAAATTCGAGCTGCTTGACCAAGAGCATTGCGTTCCTGTTTCGGCATAATTATAGAAGCCTCTTCCTAGCTAGCCATGGTATAAGATGTAATCCAAATTCCACTGGTGTCAAACACTATCACCCCTATCTGCACATGACTCAGACTCACCTACCATTACCTATGAGTAAGGATTCCCGACGGAATCCGAAACGTTGGGAAAAGAAAACTCTTGTTCCAGTGGTCACATCTTCTTCTTCTACTGAACTATCCTTCTGGTTTTTACGTGCAAATGTGGAGGTTAGGCTCTGAATATGAGACACCGTACTTTACTAAACGAACACCTGTTATCAACGACAGTGCACAAAATATTCAGCTAATGGCTGCCGCTGTAGAAGCATGCCCCTGGCACGAAGTTGATGCTCTATCCCGAGCAGATATCGGACAGACAGAAGACTTCAAGAAAAGATATTCACCCCTCGTGCGGCTGTCAGGTCCGGAATCACCTACCTGAGTTTCAAGCCAACTTTGTTCCCAGTGTGGTAACGATTAAACAAATATCTGCTTCCTCGTTTCGGCTAACTTTCTCGCCGTGCCTGGTAAGGCAGATGGTTGAGGGAAATGCTAAAAGGTCACCTGTCGGCAAGTGGCCTGGAAGACGTTACCCTGAGGTTGCCGGAGAAGCAAATCCAATCAAAAAATCAGCACGCTACAATCAACTAAAGAGCCATATTTACGAGGGACTGACTAACATCGAAAATAACACTCTGGTTATTCCTTCATTGTAGCTTGTGGGTGGAAATATTTTTGCTTACTTGAGTTCTTTCCACTTGAAGAACAAATAACTTAAGTAGTATTTGCCGTATCAGGAATAGTTCGAAACTTATCTATGCAATCCTCCTATGTACAGAGGTATTTGTAAAAGGAACTTGGCTGGTGGACGATGGCAAGTTAGCCTAAAGTGGTCATTTCAATGTCTACTGTTTTGGAAATAACGTTTAATACCTGCCTTTTTCAACAATCCACTAAAATCCGTATAATTTGGCGGATCCGTAAACTAGAAATAACGAGAATGAGGTATTTTTAAACAAAACAATGTTACCACAACCGCTTACATCTGTCTGTGTGTATCCTACCGCTAGGAAATGTTAAACCACCTCGCCACACGTAAGCACGGAAACTAGGGAAGGCTCGTCGAGGAAGGCTGACTACAAATCCTTAAGTGTCCGGCTGCATTAAGTAACCATGAACATAATTTTCTCATACGGCAGCAAGACAGTCCAAAAGGGATTATTTTCGCCTTTTCCGGACAAAAGCTGACACAGGCAAGCATGCAGCGCTCCGGACCGATATGACCAGAAAAAGGAAGGTAGACAATTAGAACAATAGACAATGTTGATTTCGAAAAATTAAATAAATGTTCGTGCAATGTTAAACAAACTGGTAAAGTGTGCTTTAGATTAGGAAAGCTTGGTAAAGCGGACTCGTAATGTTGATAAGCTTGGAGCATAATCTCGAGATATTTCATACACAAGGGAATGTTGGCTTTCGAAAGAACGTCGTTGCGGTCTCCTAGAAAGACCTAACGTGATAAAAAGTGACAGTTTAAGTAGGCTGCATTTTTTCTATTAAGTTAGATGCCCTTACAAATTCAAATATATTCTATAAATAACATAAAAAAATATTTTTCTGTGCTCACTGAATGGAAGAAGCGCGTCTTCGTAAAGTTCTATATTCAAAGGAATGGTATATTTGGGTTTTATAAATGTTTTCTTATCCTCCAATAATTTTGGACCCGATCTGCGGATGCATTTCTGATAAAGGGTTTTCAGTCTACAAGAAAGATGCCTATCTTGGAAGGAATATCACACGTATGCACATACGCAATACGCTAATGACATTTAAATGCACATTAGCATGCGATATAACTAAAGCATAAGTCATACACCGCAGTAAAATGATTTTACTTCAAGGAGCTTTAGTCTCCTGCGTGAAATAAACTGGACAAATGACTGCTTATATTCTGTAAATATTCCCATGATTAATTTGAAAAGTCAGTTTATTAGGCAAACATTAGTTCGATAATTCTTCGTCAGGCCACTAACTTTGCAAAAGAATGAAAGTTTGTTTTCCAAAGTTAATGGCCTGACGAAGAATTGCCGAAAATATGTTTGCCTAATAAACTGACTGCTTATATATTAGCTACTTCCCTTTTTTCAAGCATGCATTTATTTCGTCAGTTCCCCAATAAAGAGAACATAAACATGACATATCGGTTCCTCGTGCTATAGATGCTCGCGTGATTTTAAATGTTTTAGTGGCCAGATGGGTGACCTTCTGTTTGAAAACGTCTTCGATCATGAAAATTCTGTAAATTTTGTGTCATTATGCATTAGCTCCTAATATCGGTAGGTCAATAGATGTGGCTGAAAAGAGGTATGTGATCTATATGCGCAGCAATATCTTATAACAGCCAGCGAACTTCCTTATACAAGCTGAATGACTTTAAAGAAATTCAACGGCCTGTGATTGAAAAAAACAAATGTGGAATGCTGATTATGTCTAAAAATAAACAGGAATTGCTTAATTCAGCAACAATAACGGACTTCTTTACCTTAAATAGAAAATTTTAAAGAGACATAATGCGCATTATAGTTAATAAAACCGTTGACAATAAAGGGGAAGGTGTGCCACATTTGGACGTTTTTCAAAATAACAGCATGCTTCTATAAAATTACTACATTTTATATGCGTTAAATGATAATTAGTAGCAGGGCGTTACATATCTAATTTAAAATGGTATTTTTTTAAACTGAGAGGGCATTTTACCATTCGAAGCATGAACAAAATTGCCGAGCTTTTTTAAGTCTTGCGCACTGCAGGCGGGGATCCGCAAAATGCCATGAAATTGTGGCTTTACCGAGTTGAGTGCAAGAAGGAATAGTGTTATTCTCTTTTATCTTGACAATCGATATGCTGTCAGAAAGAAGCAAAAAATTTATCCGTGTTTAACAAACAACTGTCCTGATCACAACATGTAGCATAGCACTTACCTTCATTTGGGTTATGTTGCCCGGACGACGAAAGAGGTCGGTTACATGAACACCCTGACGCGCAAGAAAGGCAAATAGGGTAAAGACGGGATCCGGAATGGCAGTCCTGATGTGCCTGGAACAACTTGCTTCCGGAATTTGCAGGGCCTAAAAGTAAAAAAAGTGAATAAAAGCACATAGACACTTGGAATTTCCGAAATTTCTAGATCTTTGTAGGTGAAAAGCACTGAAGAAGTTCTCAAGACATTATAAGTCGGATCATAGATGGATCCTACGGATATCGAAATTTAATAACTGGACAATTTTCTCGAATTCATCAGAGGCCGATAGTGCTCTTTCTGATCTAATAATGGCTCCTATCAGTTTAAAGTTGAGTGAAAGTGGCCCAAGCATGTTCGAACGGATTATCGAAATAATAAAGTCCCAGAGCTAGAAAGCAGGTTCCACAGAAAGAAAGCTGAGGTCAAAGGGTCGGTGGTTCAGTTCGGTGCAACGATACATACATAAGTATTGGTTATGAGTTTTCTAATGTCACAAGTTATTCTATTATAAATCAATTTTAGTTTCTAAACAATCTAAAAAAATCAGGTATGCAACAGCTTTTCATCTTTTCCTTAGATACTTTTTGCGACTTCAAAAATCAGATGATTTTATTTGCCTGCTTTCATTAGAAGCAGGTTACATCGGCTGCCAAACTTGATAACTCAACATTTTTGGTGAAAACGCCCTTACAGCTATATGCCCTCTCCAAATAAGCCAAGCCAATAAATACCTTGGGTCAATAGTCATTTTTTTGGTGCTTTTCTAGTTGTCAGCCCTCTTCAGTGAATAACCAGATATGCACATAAGGGAATAACTTGACAAATAAGAGTCTGCTTCGGATTTTGCGGTCCTTCTAATGAGTTGACCTAGGCAGTTGGGAAAATATTGCATTCACCGTGTTATAAACCTATCAATAGCATGAAGTTCGTGTAGACCGACACCCTGCACCACACGGATAAACCGGTACGTAGTCACTCACACCGGATTGTCCGTAGCCAGCGATAATGGATTCAATGACGCTAATATGTTTTTCTCCCGCCCTGGTACTCCAATTGCATATTAGACACCACGGGTCCGACATCAATGAAAATAAGCTCACCCCTACCCGAAATAATCAGTGTATTGAGCGCCGGAACACGTGAAAAGGTTTATTGAACATTGTCCGCACACTCCGATGGAAGGAGACAATTGGATGGTGTTGTATAATGCTTTATCAATGCCAATAATCGCAGGTAAATTCCCCCACAGTAACGTGCTCATTATAAACGCATGCTTTTATAATTGCCTGGGTAACTTTCACTCAAAAAACTGTGATTAAGATAGTACGTATCGATTTTGAGGACGTTTATGCTTTTAAAGACAGCCCCATTTCATAGGCACAAACAGAATTGTCAACTGTATTTTATACTTAACCACGATTCAATTTTATTTATTATATGAAGGCAGATAAAACTGCGTTTTCCAGATGGTTCACTAACTCCCAAACAGGTTGAAGTACCACCTGATTAGGGTGACTTCCAAAATGCATGCAGTTCCTTGGGAAAGTATTCTGGCAATTATGACCATCAAAATTGACAAGTAGTCACAACATAATTATAAAATGCTTTACCTATTATTCCTCAGAGCTTCTATAGGGTCGATTAGTCTGCTTAAAGGTACTTCAGAAAATATTCACTTTGTGCTCACAAAATGAGTTTTAAAGTTAACATTTAGAAATATGCATACTGTACCTTTAATGTAGTTTTATAGTCCACATAATTTTAATATCACTTGTATTTTAGCGCGTTCTCGGGATTCATAAACAAAGGCTGATATATGGCCGCTGTTCAGTCTTTCAGGTGTTACACTGCATTACTGACTCCAGAAAACTGCGTAGATTCCACTTCTGGAAATCATACCACTCCAGCTTTAAAAACTCACACATACCCTTCTCTGACAATCAAAATTTGAATATCTAGTGTACCACATAAAGGCAATAAAAATTGCTTGAGAAGTAAATTAGTTTTCAAAACATCAAACTTTCGCGTAAAAAAAA